CTCATAATAATCGAGCGGCATACTAGCTATATTCCGGTCGTTGCAGAATGAATACCCCATTCAGTTTAGTTTTTCCGCTTTGCGCACTTGCCCACACATTTCAAATGTAAACAAGTCATTTCTAGATAGCACAACTCTTCCGCAGCTGCTTTCATTGCCCGCCCTGATGTCGCAATGTGACTTGCATACATACACTCGTACGTTATTGATTGCGTTACGTTGTGGTTTTCACGATTTGTTTTATTATTTTTACAATGAGAAATATTATTTACACACAAACATACATACACATAAGCAGCGTGCCTATGATTTTACGAAGGCATATAAAAAGTATTTGCACAGGCTGCGCGTATGTATGTATGCAGTTTATTGTTTATTCAGATATAAATTTACATATGCCACATGCAAGTAGGAATGAGTGGAAGGCCTAAGAAAATACGAGTGTCTTATGGTAAGCGCACAGAACCCAAGGTCGTTGCTAATCGAAGACGTTTACAAGGTTTCACTCGTTCGTGGAAATTCAATAATTTAAACGATGGAAACTGCCGTGATTGCTTGCGACTCTAGATAATTCCTATAAAAAGCATTTGTATTTATATTTATTTGTAAGTTTTGATGGGTGGTGTGGGTTTGAGACTTGATTTTGATTGAAGCTTTGTTTTTATGCCAGATTTATAATTGCTTTTTAATTTAGCGTCGAATTTGTACTCGTTATTTAATGATTTTATTCACAAGCTCGCCCACAGCAACTTATGTAACTCATTTGCATTAGAATAATCTTCTTTAGAGCAAATCCTATAAATCTATTAAAAAGGCATTTTATGATTATTGTTCCCCTTCCTAATACGGCAAGTAACATTTATGTGTGTCCATGTGTACATATGTATGCATGTATTAACATTTGCGAAAAACAAAATTGAACTGAAATCGATTTCTAGTAATGACTTTCACCAAAAGTAAACACATACATACACAGTGATTATACTACTCATATGCAAACTATATTTCATATACATTTTTATACACATGCATCCATATATGTACAGTTATGGACAACACAATGGGGTCACTTTTGGTTTGAAGTGTAAATTTAATTATTTCGGACCATAGAATCAGGGTTATTAGCTGGCCTGCGGAATCTCCAAACTGAAATCCCATACAAAGTAAGGTAAAGTTAAACTGGTAGGCTGATGAGCTACGCATAGACCAGTTTTGGTCCTTTGCGGTGCTAGATAGAGTTCAGTTACGAGGCACATGAGGAGTAGTCAGGCCTATGCTTGACGCGAATTTCAACAGATTCTGTTTCCTCACTATCGATACTACTATAATAGATATGGTTGATGTCGTTGTAGCGGCAGAATTTTTCTGAGTTAACAGTCCTTTGCGGGATAAAATCCGGGTCCGTTCCGGTTACGTAGACCCGACTGTCGTGGAAACGAGATAAATTCTCCCGAATTTTTTTATATTTCAATTTGTCAATAACTTTATGGAAACCCACAAATCACGAATCAATATTCAAATTCAGATTCAGTGAATATATCTTTGGAATTAAGTGTTTTCAACTCGCTACTTTCGACGGTTTTAGGTTTCATGTATACATTTTATAAAACATCTGTCCAAATTTACAGCGACTCTAAAATTCGAGGTGTGAAAGTCCGTTATTATTACTTGTATGGGGTTATTATTATAATATTCATCGTCTACAATATTGATAAGAGAGCAGAGATATGGCAGTTAATAAAGAAAAGCTGCACACAATCGTATATGCCTAACTGTAAATAAAAATGCATGTACATGTATGCACGATTGACGCTCCGTTCGCCATGTAATCAATTTCCAATTGCAAATAGACAACAGAGTGTGTTGTACCGTTCAATTTAGCGCGCACACATTCACCTCTCCCCCCACAGATTCAGCCTACTTTTTCCTCCCATTTGTATGCATATTTTTGCGGTATATTTTGTGTGTGTAGTAGTTGCGCACTTACCTTCAATACAAACGACGTGATCGCGTATCTGCTGGGCGATCTGTGCATCGGCGATTGGCAGCAAATCGATTAAATCGTAAATTGCATAAATCGATGGATGTACGCTTTCGAAACGTTGTATTTCTTGACGTATGGCCAGTGAATTGCTGATCAATGGTTGAGGTTGCTGCTGCTGTTGCTGCACACCATGTTGTTGCTGTGACGGCAACATCGGCAGCGGTGGCTGCGATTGCGGCAGCAGTGAGGGATGGTGATGCGGCAGCGGCGGTGGCGGCGGCAAATGGTGATGATGGTGCCGCGTTACAGGTGGCGGCGTTTGGTGTTGATAATTATTCATTTTAGACATGATTAACACTCACAAAAACAGCAGAGAAGCTATTTTATTTATTGCAGACGGAGAACTGAGACACAATTTTTTTCACAATTTCTTTTTCTTTTATTTGTTCGCTTTAATTTAAGAGATACAAAAACACATAATTATTTTTCACATTTTTCCACAATATGGCATTTAGATATGCAAATTGCGATTAAGTATTTTTATTTTATTTTATTTATTTTTTGCTTTAATTCAAACTTCAATATTTCCGTTATACTATATTTTTTCGCAATTATTTATTTTAACGAATATTTTTGATTTTTCGCATTCGCCTGCAATAGAAGTGATATTTTGGTATTGATAATAATTTGCATATATGAATGGTAATCTAAAAACTCATTAGCATACACACAAATGTAAAAAAAATCAAGCTTTTTTTAAAACATTTCAACAATTCTTAATTAAAAGATTTGTGCATTAAATTCGTTCACATAACTCAGTTTCATCGAAGTATGTTATAGTTTATGCTGATCCATATACATATGTACATATTTAAAAAAATCAAACTCAGTGGCATTTCAAATCATAAAAGCATAAAATAATAAATCCATTTATGACACATTAATAACAACACGACGAAAAAAATAACCTATAACGAATCAAACAATTTATTGAACTGGAGTAAAGCAATTTTATGCATTACACTGCAGTTACACTTCTGCACGTTTGTAAACATGAGAAATCTATAATTAACTTTAAAGTCACTAAATTAGATAATTAGAACAATCTTCGTACAGCTACGTCAACTACACAGATACATATGCATTTATTATATACAAAAAATCAGTTACACCCGCGCACAAACTAACGTCTTCTGACGTTTCGGAGCAATTCATTAGATACTCTTTCTCGTCTTTACATTTGTCGGCTCAGGTACGAACATATGTATGCATGTATCTGCGTTCCCTCGTCTTTTTACATAAAGCCGTTTGTTTTGTTTATGTTGTTGTTGTTGCTAGTTTAATTGCCGTTTTTTTCTTGTGTTCAACAGCACTTCATCTCGCTTTTATGCTGCTGCTTCGCATTTATTTTTGTTGCTAGTGCCGATGCTACTTTTCATTGCTGTTGTTGGATTGTATAATGCTTGTATGGGTGTAGGTGTGTTTTCGTAGAATGCATTAGTAGTTGTTTGGGCATAAATAAAATCGTGAATAGTTTATTTCTTTTTTGTTAGCATTTTCGTTTATTTGTTATTTTTTGCCTTCTTGTCGAATGTTTATGGTATGAAGAGTAAATTGGAAATGGAGGAAGCGCAAACCAAGGATGTAAGGCTAGATGGTGATGGGTTTTAAGGTCGCGCCAGAATTTAAAATTTGAAATGGATTGTTAAGTGGACAATTACGAGGTATAATGAAATTACAATTATTGAATTATTTTTAATGGCATGATATATGCATTAATACACGTTTTCTATAATTTAAAAGGGTTTGATTTCGGTAAAACCTCTATGCCTTTATTGTTAAATAACAACGCAATCACCAAATATTACAGGCACTTATTTTGTATTTAATCGGCTTTCGGTCCAACGAATCGGCAATTCCATGTACTGCCACCGATACGTCGAAACAGCAATTCAACGTAATTCAATGAAGCAACATTGTCGCAGCACACGCAAAATTTGGAGCGGTGCAATTCCACTTGCCGTCTTTACATGCCAATACACACATGCACACACGCACATAAAAAATGGAAACAAAATTACAATTTAAGGCCACACAACTTTTTGAGAACTAAGATAATGCATAAATTTAACGCAAATATTACATCGATACTTTGCAGCGAATCTGTAGATAATTACAAGTTCTTTTACATTAAATTATCTTTGTACGCCGACAAATTAACACAAAACAAAACGCCTAGCCACGGTTAATATTTGAAGCGCGCTCGACACAAATGAAATTAACTCAAACACGTCAAAGAACAAACTGACAAGAGCGAATCGGCTGAAATTCGCTTGAACTGCCGTTGTCAGTTTTCCACTGGTTTGCTCGCTCGTGAAGGTATGTGTGTGTTTGTTGATTTGCTGTTGGAGTTGGAGCTTTGGATACAAAGCAGTGGTGGATGATTTTAATTTTACTGTGTTTGATAAAATACAGCGGGCGGGTTAAAGAATAAACAAAAAACAGCAATGCAAAGCGCAATGTCAAAACGGGAAATGTCAACACCGTCGATTATTCTAGCGGCGAATAGAGGTGGTGCGATGCAGGGTGACAGAGCGTTTTCGTTTTGGGATTTAAACCAAATAAATATAAGTTCAGTAGATTAACAATATTAACCGCTATATACCATTAAATAAACACACACTTTGATCGGAAAGTACACAAATATTTAATATTTTTTAAACTAAATTATATATGCCGAGAATTTATGGGAAATCTTGAAACTGTGTGCTTGATACTGATTTATCATTGGTATATTATAATTTATTTCCTAAACTAATATCATTAAACAAATAATCGTTTATTTTGAAATAATGGTTAATCCAATAGCAGAACTTCAAATAAATGGCGATTTCAATAGAATGTTTAAAAATAGGATATTATGGTAGCCTTAAATTATCTGATCAAAATAATAATAAATGGCATCACTTAAAGGATTTGCATTGAAGCCAATCTGCATTAAAAAATTGTAAAGAGATATTTATTTAAAAGTCAAAATTTTATCAGATAAAAATTCGTAAAATAAATGAAGTATTCAAATAATCAGCTCTTTCCAGCAAACATTTAATTTATTAAACATAAAATTCCAGCTCAACGTGCAAATAACATACAGCGTTGTGAAATCCCAAACCAAGTGTTTCCAGATTCACTGTTATATTCACGAGATTCTTTTAAGCTTATTACAGAGAAATCGCCACACAAAGCCCGTCTTGACCCCGCCGATAACATCAGTCAACGTGATGTGCTTGCATATTGAATTATAATTTGCGAAACAGTTTAGTCGTGCTCGGCTAGTGGCACGTTACGAAAGTGTCGTCGGAGAAGAGACAATTTACCAAAATGAAGGCAAGGAATATAGTTTGGTTACAAAATGCTTTGTTACTGCAGGCGCTATTTTTATCAGCGGTAAGTTGTTGATCAGGTTTCACCGGTAAGCTAATGTTTCATTTACTTCCTTTTCCAAAAGTCTGTGCGTGCATATTCTGCTGACTCAGCGGGCTCTTGTAGTAGCAATTCAGTGAAATCTGATGCGCGTGCATTTTTCGAACGTGAAAATGAACTACTACGCCAACGTCGTCGTAATGAGTTTCTCACCTCGTACGTATATAACACAAATGTCACCGAGGAAAATCGCAAAGCTATGATTGCGGTGGCTACAACAAATGCTGCCGCGAACAAGGAGATGACACGTAATGTAATTGCATCGGGATATATTGACTCAACCGATGAGGATATTAAGCGGCAAGCAACAATACTTGGTGATTTGGGTATAGATGTGCTACCCGAAAGTGATTATAAGGAGTTACTCAATGCAGTGAGTTTAATGCAGTCAAATTATGCTACTACAACTGTTTGCCCATACAACAAGGAAGGAAATTGTACGCTGCAATTGGAGCCACATGTACAGGAACGTCTCTCGAATAGTCGTGATCCAAAAGAGTTGAAACATTACTGGCGTCAATGGTATGACAAAGCAGGCACCCCGATGCGAGAGAATTTTAAAAAATATATTGAGTTGACCCGCAAGTCGGCGCGTCTGAATGGTAAGTTGCCGGCGTTTTGTTGAAGATAAGCATAAATGTTTTGCTTTTTGTTTATACTTTCACAGTAGTGTGCGTGTGATTGTATATGTGCGCATCAGATGTTGTTGCTACCGATTATAAACATTGGGCGAGTTGATAACAAAGAAAGAGGAATATTTATATATGTATATTAAATAATTATTCAGTTTTAGTACCAGTTATTTATAATTTATGGTACTCTTATATAAAGTGAATGTCAATAACTTTCGTATTTAATTTAAAATTCCTTTCGTCTTACATTAATCATGTGCCAGGTTATTCGTCATATGCTGATTACTGGATTCATTTCTATGAAGACCCCGATTTCGAATCAAACCTGGATAAGGTGTATAAAGCTATATTGCCATTCTACCGCGAAATACACGGTTATGTTCGCTATCGACTGCGTGCGTATTATGGAGATGAAATTGTGTCTGAGAATGGAAATATTCCAATGCATTTGTTAGGCAACATGTGGGCCCAACAATGGGACAATGCTTTGCCACTTTTCACACCTTTTCCAGAAAAGCCGTTCTTGGATGTGACCAGCGAAATGCAGCGTCAAAACTTCACAGTACGCAAGCTCTTTGAGTTAGGTGATCAATTTTTCAAATCACTCGGAATGCGTGCGCTACCGCCAAGCTTTTGGGACTTAAGCGTGCTAACACGGCCAGCAGACAGAGAAATAGTTTGTCATGCTTCTGCCTGGGATTTGTACCAGGACAGTGATGTGCGTATTAAAATGTGCACTGACGTCGACACACACTATCTGTACGTGGTACATCACGAACTTGGCCATATACAGTACTACTTACAATATGAAAATCAACCGACAGTTTACCGCGCAGCGCCAAATCCCGGCTTCCATGAGGCTGTCGGCGATGTTATTGCGCTTTCGGTCTCCACGCCCAAACACCTGCAAGCCATCGGTCTCTCAAACGTCGGCAAGTTGGATGATGAAAGTCGCATCAATGAATTGTTCAAGAATGTGAGTTGGAAACATTTATTTTTATATTATGATCATTTCTAAATCTTACCTCTTAGGCGCTCAAAAAAATCGTGTTCTTGCCTTTTGCCTACACTATGGATAAATACCGTTATGCTGTGTTCCGCGGCGACGTGGAAGAACCGAAATGGAATTGTGCCTTTTGGCAAATGCGTTCAGAGTTTTCGGGCGTCGAGCCACCCGTACGTCGCACAGACCAAGATTTCGATCCACCAGCAAAATATCACATTGATGCTGATGTTGAATACTTGCGTTACTTTGCAGCGCATATCTTCCAATTTCAGTTTCTTAAAGCGATGTGCATAAAAGCTGGTCAGTATGTGCCGGGTGACCCAGAAAAAACATTAGACAATTGTGATATTTATAACAACAAGGAAGCTGGTGAAGCATTTAGGTCAGTTTTTTATTAAACATTATTGTCAATTGAGTATAACCTCTGATTTATAAATACAGCAAATTTCTTAAATTGGGCGCGTCGGTGCATTGGAAAAAGGCGCTAAAGGAGTTCACAGGTGAAACTGAAATGGATCCATCTGCACTGTTGGAGTACTTTGAACCACTCAGAAAATGGCTGCAAGCAGAAAATCAACGCTTGAAAGTGCCACTCGGTTGGGGCGATACTGATAGTGAGCGCATACTTCAAAAATATTTATTGTTAGGTTTTTATTAATTAATATATATTTTTGCTTTTATTTTTATTATTTGCAGAAGTTGCAGGTGACTGCTGTCCAGCTTTCAGCACCTAACATTTAATGAAAGTCAGCATTGAAGAGAATTGTAAAATGACCAATGTTTGCTTATGACAAATACGAACTCGTTTTGCTTAAGAAGTGAAACCGTAGAAAGCCTTCATCGTATACAACTTCAACATTTTTAAACGAAATCAAAATATTTTTTTAAACAATTTGCATTTTTTAATACAAATTTGACAGTGTTTTGTAATCTTAAAAAGCTGTATAAACATTAAACAAAACAATTCAACCTTCAGCTCATAAGGAAGTCTTAATAAAGCTGTTTGCTAGCATTGTATTTGACACAATTATTATTTTTCTAAACTAGTACGAAAAAGAAAATAGTTTAAAAATAATATAATTGTGCTTTGTGTATGGCTACTGAAGCCAAAAACGAATCAAAATGTAGTTAACAACCCTCAGTTTACATTTTTTAGGAGAAATTACTTTCCTCAAATTCCATCTACAAGATAAAACTGTAAAACTGTGTAAGCTAATATTTACTTGACAAAATCTGGCGTTCACACTCAACATAAAAATTGTTTGTGTTAAATAAAGAACAAATAAAAGTATGTATATAACCACAAAGCAGACTATTTCGGAGTAACTCAGGGAATAATTGATTTTCATTGCAAATTTATAATCGATTAAATACTAAGCACGAATCGTAAGTGGTCAGCGGCATTTATTTTTATATTCTATTTACAATTTCTCTCACTTATTTACATAGCTTGCGTCGGCTTAATCTCAATACTCAAGCACACAGTGTTATGCCTATCTCAATTGGATTCTCCTTCCTTATCGATATCTCACGCATATTTGGCTCCGGCATTGTTGGCGATAATGACGATGAGCACTCGCCTTGGCGACGACACGCTCAATATCTCAATTTGCTGATTTTTACACTCATTTTTCTAACCACTTTAATGCTGATACGTATGGACGACTATGCCACTGCGGTTGAATAATTTACAAACGTTGATCTTGCAGCGTTTAGCCAGTATAAAAGCCAGCCAGCGGCTGCTCAGCAAATTAGTTTACGTGCCGCGCTCTTTCTGCGCGCGAGTTTCTTGCTATAAGTTGGTGATATTGAAAAGTTGTGGGTGAGCAATCGTTACAGTTTTCAAATTTAATTTATGTTTGATCAAATTATTGGTGAAATTAAAAATAATTTAAATTGCTACTGAGCTGTCTTTAGTGTGTACATATGTATGTGCTTTAATTGACACACATGCTCTCAAATTGTCACAATAAATTGGATTAATCACGCACAAATCACATGTCAATCGCCGTTCAATGCACCCAACGTCATGATCTTGATCTTATTGCCAAGTCAAATGTTAAATTAAGTTAAATAATGCAATTTTGCCATTTACTTCAGCGTGCGTTTGACAATTACTGGACTAAATGACTTGGCGCGTTTGAAATACATGAGAACAGCCATGAGAGCTGGCCACTTTTTGGCAACGAAAAATGTAACATGAATAATTTAATAATATTCATAATAATAATTATTGATTTAAGAGCACAAAAGGAAGATCAGTCAATAATGCTTATTAAAATCACAACTTTTGTCAAACCAAAACAAAAAAAAAAAAAAAAAAAAAAAAAAAAAAAAAAAAAAAAAAA